GGGCAAAATGGGCAAGGTTTTTGTCGATGGGCCAAAAGATTTTTGGTCCAAAAAGAACACAAAAAAATGAAATGAGATTCTTTTAATTTTTGAATTAGATTCTAATTCAAAAAAATAAACAAACAATTCTGTCTATAGGCACTCTTACATATATGTCTAAGAGTTATACAAAAAAAACCCGCATGGGTATATCTGCTAAGTAAAATTTCAATGGGCAAAAACTTACTAATAAAAATTACAATGGGCAAATCTCCAAATGAAATGGGCAATTGCCCGTTTGCCCTCCCCCTGGATACGCCGCTGTGTCTGATATAGTTGAAGTCATTTTTCTCGGACCAACTTTTCGAGAGGAATCGATTGGCAGTCTCAGAATTTTATGCAAATGTGTCCTGTGCGAGAAAACCATGTATTTTCGTTTTGGATATTGTCTAACTCGTTGTAACGCATTAATACCTATCGTGTTACACCGAGTTCCATTCTCTTACCTTATTGCAATGAGGTAGAAAAGAATAATGCATTATAATCTATTAGATATTAACTCGTTACAATACGATATGCATTATCTAATGAGTTATAACGCTATAAAAGATTTTTCCAATTTATGGCATTATAATTAGATAAAACATCTAAGGTATTATAACGCATTAACCCTTTACACCGGGCGGTCCCTTCCAAGGGACATTGATGTAATAGATTTATACAAAGAACGGATCATCAGGCCATAAGCTAGATTATTACTAATGTAGAACAATAGAGTAGCCTAACTTTTGACTGAAATAAGAAAAAAACATTTCCATTTTAATCCGATATTTTTGAATTTTAAAATTGAATGAAGTTCAAAAATGAATTTTTTGGTTTTAGATATTTTCTATACTTGTGGCCACTAAATCATTTTCTAATTTTGTAGTTGGTAGTTTTGGTTGTATGGATGTAGTTTATAATGAAATCAAAGCAGACATTTTTGTAGCAGTCTTCTTTGCGTAAAAGCGCTGTGGATTCACTGTCCCTTGGAAGGGACATTCGGGTGTAACGACATGAAAAGTGAATTTTTTTATCTTAACATCTTGTTAGCATGGGTCATTCTGTGGTCACTCGCTACATATCTGAAGATGGGCGATTGAAGAAAAAAAGATGTAACCAACAGTACAGTGCCGTCGCCGACAAATGTGAAGGCGTTTTTCTCTGATCGATATAAAAATTTCATCTAACTGCGTTTTAAATACTGAATAAAATTGGGAAGCGTCTAAACTATCTTCGGTTTTTTAAAAAACAAGATACGTCGGAACACACTTTTCTTCCTTGAGATAAAAAGAAGCTCGTTTAGAAGCGCCCTTGGGGCCATCTTGATTCGAAAAACGCGTTCGGGCACGACGTTTTTGGAAAAATTAAAGAAAAATGCGTTTGTTTCTATCAAAAATTTTTCCAGTGAGTAAAGAATTGAAAAGAAACTCATAGTAACACACTAGGGTAAAAAAGGAAGTTCGGAATAATAATGAAAAAAATACAAAATCCATGTCGTTACACCCGAATGCCCCTTCCAAGAGACATCGTGTATCCACGCGGCAAAGCAACACCACTTAAGTCCAGATATAACATGAATGTAGCAAAGAACTGTAAGATTCAATGCAATAGCTATTTCAACAGCAGCTATAATAAAAGTGTCTTCGGGTGTAAAGGGTTAATTTCTAACGCATTATATTGAAGTAGAAAGTTCAGACGCATTATAATACATTAGAATCTAACGTATTATAAGGCGGCAAATCTAATTGCGTTGTAACGAGATAAAAATTGAAATGCATTATAACACTATAAATTTATAGAGTTGTAATGCAATGAAAATTTTTATCCACTTACAACGCCATAAATTCCTGAAAAATAACTTTGCAACGCGTTATAACACGACGGGCTACGTCTATTGCATTGTAATGAGATAAATCTATAGCGTTGTAATACCATAATTTTAAAAAAAGCATATTTTATAGCGTTCTAACGCTATAAATAGAGAAAAAAAGATCCTACGTAAATATTTTTCTCAATTAACTGATATCATGATCCTATCTCAAAAGTATTATATATACTATTATAACGAGATATTTAACGTTTGTACGCTCAGTTTAATATTTTTTTATCTCTAAATGATGTCTTTTTTTTTCAGCCATGGATATTTGGTTTACAAGCTATTTGTTTCTATCTACCAAAATTATTCTGGCAATTTTCACTACATCATAGTGATTATAATGTTAGTGGCATCTTGAAGTCAACAAATAAACTCTATTCATTACCGGATTTTGCTAAAAAAAAAATTCCAGCAAAATTACGTGATGATCAATTAAGTTATTTACATTCACATCTTTTTTCAAAAAATTTTATACCAGTAACAACAAGAACAACAACAACAACAAATAAAAAACATTTTTTTCGTCAACGTCATTCTTGTTATTTTTTAATATTTTATCTCATAACAAAATGTTTATATTTAGCTAATTTGGGTGTACAAGTGTTTATTATTCATTTAATTATTGGATCAAGAAATTCTGTCTATTCAGATATTAAATCAAAACATTTTTTATCAGAATTTAATCAAAAAATTAAATCAGGTATATCAGAATTAATTGACACTAGTTCATTTCCAAAACGAACACTATGCGATTTTACATTTCGTGAATTAGCGTCAAATCACTATTATACGGTCGAATGTATATTACCCTTAAACATACTTGTTGAGAAAATTTATGTATTTTTGTATGTATGGTTTATACTATTAATTTTCATTACATTAATGGATATTGTTAAATGGTTATTTCGTATTATACGTTTCATTCGTGAATCATTTCGACTGAGATATATTGAACATCATTTAATTAATCGTCATGATCCAAATCAAATCCAAACATTTGTTCGACAACATCTCAATTGGGACACATATTTTCTTTTTAAGTTATTGTCGAAAAATGTTTCGACATATGCTGTTGTCGATATATTAGGATATTATTTTGAAACACAAAAAAATAGAAAGACAAAAGAAAATTGAGACAAAGATGTTTACTTTTGTAAAGTTCTTGTTGTTGTTTTTTATTGTATGTTTGTATAAAGAATAAGACAGGTTAAAGGTTAAAGCATGATGATACTGTTGCCAAAAAGATTCTTCTTCTTAACCCTTTACGCCCGACAGCGGTTCCAGAAGAGCCACTGATGAAACAGTGGGGGGGAGGGGAGGAATGCCTTGAAAAGTCCTATTTTGGGCTTGTCGTAAATTTGATATAGTTCGATCAAAAAAGATCATAGAGAGCTCGGGGACATCTCGTTTTGTAGAGAATTGTTTGCTCTATCATTCTACATAGTTTGAACAAAATTTTATTCTCAGGTTCCAGGTGCTGAAAAACTACAGTGGTTACAGAAATTGATCAACTGAGTGTATTTTCGATTTTTATCCGCAGCCATAAACGCTAAAAAGAATTCAAATAGTGACCTGAGTAGGGAAAATTGTTTTCAACAAGGATTTGAGGAACTAAAAATCATCACTTGATTCCCTATAATAGAGTTTTCTAGAAAGGATTAAGAGAAATTTACGCATTGTTAACGGTACTTATTTAAGAGCAGATAATTAGTTATATACTCATAATGTATGTTTAACATCGTTGAATGAATGTCCATGACTCTCATTGACTTAACTGATTCTCTTTAGTTACTGGTGGATCTGAGAGAGAGAGCTTCTCCACATTGTTAAAATCTATGTCATGATATTACATGTGTAAGCAGACCGAGCTAATTTAGAGTTTGTTTTTTATGATTTTTCAGTGCCCGTTTGTGCTCAGTCATTCTAATTTCTCAAGTATTTACTGTTTCACCATAATAGGATATGTAGGCTAAAGAGTTTTGGGTATGATACATTTTGAACGGAGAATGAGATAAGTTTTTCACTTAGAAGTATTCCCAGATCTAAAGTATGTTTTTCTCAAACTAAGCTTAATTAGATTCTTTTCCATGATCTAGTCAATGACTTCAATATACAAAAAAATTATTTTTCTTAATCGAGATCTTTTGTTTTTTCTTAATGTTTTGTCAATCAAGATCGAGAGCATGTTGTTTCTGTTATCTTTAAAAAAATTTTTAAAAATGCATGTCCTTTATGTATATAAAACGTGCTAGTTAATATAATGGAAGAAGAAGAAAACTAATAATTACTCTTTCTTGATGTGTTAATTTAACGTAACGCCTGGCATTTTTTTTCAACGATGTTTAACGAAAAGTAATGGAAAAACAATCTGCGCTAGGCTATATAAAAAACTGCTACAACGTGAATTCGAGTTTATAAGACAATTAACGTCATCAAACAACTATCCGATTAATTTTATCGGTAGTAAGATCGACAAACAGCTTTTACTAATTAAGTGAACAACAAAGCATTTTGACTCAGATCATCAATGATAATCGTTCGTAAAAAACGAAATAAAAATGAAATAATTGTGATGTGATGAAGAATTGTGATTATCGTCTACAAAAGTCTTTAATAAAAGACTCAAAGAGTTAGAGCAATAATTTTCTGTAAATTCTTAAATTTTAACTGTTCGATTAATTCTACTCATTGTACGACATTCACTTCAATCATTTCAAAACAAAAATATCATTCCAAATGAATTACAGTAGTACATTGTTTTATTATTAGTAATCAAACTGTATAGTTGTTATATCGGCAAAGCTGTTGGTCAATCAAGAAACGAGATGGTGCAAAGAGCACAGATCATCCCACATGGAACTGCTGACAGAGTTCATTTCTGTATTTTTCGACCTCTCATCGATCGATCAAGCATTTTCACATATGATATAACATGTCAAAAATCAATTTTTTTGTTGGAAAGTATTCGGTTTTATCATCCCTACAAAAAAACTAAGAAATCCATAGATTTATCATCTTTGGAAACCTATGCTCGCTGCTTATGAATTTTTTTCTTTCATTGATCTCATCTGTTCTTGGTACTGAACAGAATAAGATGCACGGAAAGCAGACTTCGAGTGAAATTTAGTTTTCGACGTTTTACACACCATTCGATAGAGAATTGTGTGCTAATCACGAACATGTGCGTCTCGCTTTTTTGGAGACTTTTACCGGTTCAAAGTTCAAAAAACTCAGGAATTGTCAAAAAGCCCAAAATCGCAAGGTTTCAAAAAAATGGCCGTAACTTTTTCGCGTTTTGGTTTCAACACTTGAAACAAAGTTTTTCAGATTCAGAATCGAAAACTGAATCTAAAACACTAAATTCCAAGATTTCAGAGCCGAAACTGGATTTTTGCTAGTGCCCGAAACCGGCACGGCTCAACAGCGTCACACAAACTTTGTAGACCTAACCCAAGTTTTTGTAGAGGTCATAGAGCCAATATTTTTACATGGCTAGTTCCGCTAGATGCTGACCTTCAAAACAACACAGAGTTTTTTTTAAAATTTGGTTTCCTTGCTGAAAAAATTCATTTTTTCTAAATCAGAGGTGAAAAAGTCGAAATTCTCAATTTTCTCTAACAGAACTAAACTTCTATGGAATAAAAATATCATATTTGGAATCAGATTCAAAAGACAAATCCAGCGATATGTATCTCTATCCTGTTCGAGTACCTTAACTTTTTTCGAATTTTCACGTTGAAAAATCACGAGATTTTCACCAAAAAATAAAAATGAACTAAAAACTTCGAAATACATATCAGTCTATTGTCTTTTGATTCTGATTCCAAATATGATATTTTTATTCCATAGAAGTTTAGTTCTGTTAGAGAAAATTGAGAATTCCGACTTTTTCACCTCTGATTTAGAAAACCTCTACAAAAACCTGGGTTAGGTCAAAATCTACAAAAAAGCGAGACGCACATGTTCGTGATTAGCACACAATTCTCTATCGAATGGTGTGTAAAACGTCGAAAAATAAATTCCACTCGAAGTCTGCTTTCCGTGCATCTTACATATTCTGGTGCTTCGATTATATCTCCATGTGTACTTAATAAATTCTCTGATCAATATCTCGCTCGATAGAGAAGAGAAGATAGAGTATTCTGACGGGTGAGAGTATGCAGGCTCTTGTCAACAGATTGAAATTAATCTATCTGAAACGCGGGTATACACGCGTAGCATGTATAGTAAATGATCTTTGAGGCAAGGGGAAACAGCAGAATTCCAAGCAGCTATGGACTCCCAGACCTACAGAAGCCTGGAGAATCCTATACAAACTTCCCAAAGTTAGAGAAACTGGAAGAATCTCTGGGAGTACGAGAAAAAATCGGAACAAGGGATTGGAATCCGATGAAATCTCGAAAGTCTGTAAAAATGACTGAAAATGGGACTAAGCGCAAAAAACGCGGGAAACTTCAAAAACAGTCGGAAAGATCCTTCGGGCTTAGCGAAGTCACGAAGAATACAGGAGGTCCCAGGAGTTCAACACAATTTGGAAGTCCCAGGAAGTCCCAGGAGTTCAACACAATTTGGAAGTCCCAGGAAGTCCCAGGAGTTCAACAAAATTTGAAAAAAATTGATTGCCTGTGGAACGGAGCACAGATTACAAAAGTCACAGAATCTGCTGTTTCCTCCTTGCTTTGAGGACAACCATCCTCTAACTATCACTCATAGCAGATACTGAACAGTGCACGAAGTAGTAAGGCACTTGATCAATGACATCTCTAACACAAAACCTTCAAATTCATTACAATACACTCCATACGGAATGTAAATATCGCCTACACTTTTGTTCAGAGTAATCTCTAATTGCTGTGTCACTCGTTCTTAGATAAACGTGATCGTAGGGATTCGAAAGTATGGAACATTTTTCCATTGTATTCATTACTCAGGAGACTATATTCCAATGATGTTTGTCTACACTAAAAAAATGAAATTTCTACGAAACTCCTAATTCATACTTGATTTTCGAGCATTAATTCCCGTGTTGCGTATCTTTATCACTTTTCACGTTCGCACAAGTTTCATTGGGGCGCGTTATCTCTTAATTATCAAATCGAAATGTTCTAAAACTTAAAAAGTTTAGCTCAAAAATAGTGTATTTCGTCACTATGAAGTTGAACGTATGCGTGAACTGAAAATATGAGAAAAACTGAAAATAAAAACTACATCATGCTTTCTGTTATCGTCACTTGTTGTGTAAAACTTTTAATCAGTCTATCGAATTCCTTCAAACTCTTCTTCGTGGGGTGGGTATTGTGTTCTGAAGTTAATTATTATTGGTATTGATTATGAATAATAGACACTCTTGCTTATGAGTATTACGTGATTTTTTTAAGCTTTGTTTGTGTACCGGCCGTATATAATGCACTTAGCTATTATTTCAAAATTTGAGGATGACAAAAATACAACAAAAAATTGAAAGACTCAACTATATCTATTTTAGTTTAAGATATCACTCGATAAAACTATAAGCAAATAACCTTGCAGTATTAAATATGTCAAAACAAACTACCGTATTGATATTGTAAGTATTCTCTCATCTGTATTCGGATATATGTTTGACCGCCCGCCCACTAATCAAGTCAGAATTTGACGGATATCAGCCTTATTTTTTTAAACAATTGCTGATCTTTAATGTAGTCAGTCCTTCACGCTTAAATAGTTGGCGCCCGCGAGTAGTAACGTTTCTCAAAAATATTTTCTCGGAATAGTGACCTCCAAAATTTTTTTCTTATTTGGAACGAGAGACCATTCGTTGTTTTTCATTTTTGTTAATGTACTGAAAAGTAAGTTTTTCGATACGAAAAATTAGATAAAATAAAAAATGACATCATCATTAACTCTTTTTTCAAACGATAAATTATATCAAGAATCTATTGAAACAAAAGTCCAAACAGTACACACTGGAAGAAAAGTTAATATTAATAAAATGGTATACGAAAAAGTTCAATCATGTAATGGAAATGAAACAGTCGATGAACAACGATCCCATGTCTCATTATCAAAATATTCAGCGTTCAAAAAACCAATGACTGTGAATTCCATGAAAACTTTAGTTTTAAATGAATTACGTGATTACTTTGCAAATAAAAATACAAAAAATCAAAATAAAGTGAAGGTCGATGATTATCGTTTACTGTCAATGTATCTAAAAACTAACAATTTTTTTGAGCCTTGCTTGATTCATATCATTAAAAGAAGACCAGAAGCTATTCTCTGGAAAATTGAATTCCGCAACTACTAAAATACATTTTTTCTTTTAGACTAAAAGTAAAATGTACCAAGTTCAACCAGTCGTTAATATAGAACAAGCCATTACCAGCGTGAATGAAAATAAAGTCACAAAAAATTTAGTCAACTTATCAATAAATAATTTTGAGAAAAATAATAGCGGAAAAACAATAACAAACTATTTATATAGTAGAAAATTAGTGCCATTAACATCATTTTATACTCAACAATCACAGGTGCCAGCTATATCTTACATAGAACGTTTTCAAACATCATCAACACTTACCAAATCTAGTATAATCACCATCGGTGTAGCAATTTTAACATCAACTTCCCTGCTAAGTTATACAATTGACCAGAGAAAATATTTACTGAGTCTTCTAGGTGATACATTATTTTATTCAACATCCTTCGCATTCGGTTTACTGGGCGCAAAAATTGTTAATCATACAGATCCAATACATATGCAACATTTTGGTGATATATTAACAAAGAGTTTGTTGTTACACACTTTTTTAACTATGATGGATGGTGAATGTCAATCAGTACATTTGAATTTTTATTCCAAACAGAAATCGTTGACTCGAGTTTTAACGGGTGCTTTACACTTAATAGCTGGTTTTACAACAAATTTTGATCGAAAAAATGAAATTAAGCTACAACACAATAATAGAGCATAGTTTAAAGCATATTTCACAGCTCATAAAGCTTAGTCGAATAAGACGTGCCTACTCTGACTTGTTTGAATAGAGAGGCAAGTACCTAATTTTAGAAAAGTCATCGTCATCGAAATAAAACTCAAACGATTGTTCAAGAGGATGTTTTTTCAACCTTCCTTTCCAACTAGGATCTAGTTTTCAGAGATTTTGAGATCGTAGTGACGGTTTGAAAACTGTATATTTAATTATTTTTTTGTTTATTTTTTAATAAAGCACGAACTTTTGTTTTTTGTGTTTCATCATCAAATGCAAAATATATATATATATATAGAATGTATATATATATATAAATATATATACATACATATACATATAGTATTTTCAGTTACTGACACATCTGATAGAGGCGCACACACAAAGAAGAAACAGTCAACTATATATGCGAACAAAAAAAAGAAGAGCCAATGAAAAATATGCCACACAACAAAAAAAAAACAAAAAAACATATAATAATGTCGAGGTGTTTAAGAACTGAGTTTCAAGAGAGATGATGATAAAATGAAACTTTTATAAAACAAACTAAAAGAACAACAACAACGTATGAACGAAAATTCAAATAGTAATAACAACTACTAAAACCGATGTATAGTTGAGGAGAGAGGATACATGACACACCAAGAAAAAAGTATACATAAGCAGAGAAGAGTGTGCGTGGATACCACGTGGATTAAAAAACAGCAGCAGCGGCAACAACAAAAAGAGAAAACTGTTCGCGAAATAAAAACAAGTTGTTAATTTTGAGCATGTAGTAGTTTTTCAGTAGGTGTGACTGTTCAACAACAACAAAAATAAAGTGCGGAAAAAAACAGACAGAAAATCATTCTCAATAAACACACCGTACTTTTTTCTCTGTTGTGTGGATCCTCTTTCTTTTGTCTTTGTTCTATGATGCTGTGGCGTTTAAACTAATACACATAATATTAATTACTAGCAAGAAGAGCAGAAATAAAATCGAAAAAAATATGCTGCTGTAATAGAATACAATTTTTCTAGAAAAACAAGGACGCTTAGAACATCCGTAGAGAATAAAAAAAAAAAACAAATACAAAACGTCCATCATGACACGTTGGTGGACGAATTTATAATCTGTTGCTGTTCATCATTAATTTTTTGTTGTTGTTGTGCAATTTTTAATTGATCTAATGTGCCACTTTCTTTAATTAATTTGAGTGCATCACGTTCAGCTTCCTTCACATAAGCTTCGCTACGATCGATTAACGAAATAACATTGGCTCCATCCCATTGTACACCACATGTATTCAATAAACGATGAACCTAAAAAACAAATCAGACTTCTATTAGGTCCTAAATGGTACTAACTGATCTTACATCTTCATCGGTAACTGGTATCTCTTGTTGTACACCGGTTTGAGTTTCCAATAACATTCGTACATCGAATCCAGCTGTCTTTTCATCATAATGTATGGCTGGATGTCTACCACGATAAAACAATATTCTAGCACGTTCATTCGCTTCACGCCAACTTAATCCTCGTGCAACATGACGTGAGGCATGACTATTTGTGCCATTTGTCAATGATAGATGAGTAGAATCACCACTAACATCATTCAGATAGGATGAATTTTGTTGTTGAGACATATAAGCACCTTGTCGTGGTGGTAAATTAATGTGGATTTCTTTCAAAATAAGTGCTAAAAAAAACAGGAAGAAAAGGTCACAATTAAAAAATTATAGTTAAATACATACGTTTTCCATATAGTCTATCTTTCATTAATGTTTGTACTTCATTTTTATCCATATCTTCGAATTGACTTGTAACATGTGCTTGTTCAATGACATCAACAATTTGTTCAATAAGTACATTATGATTATCTGAATGATCACGTTTCAATTTGTTTTTTAAATCATCATAAGTGCGAAATTCATTATTTTTATTATTTTGTAAATAATCAAATGTTTCATTTACTAATTTTTCTATTTGAGATTGTTTATATAAATTTTTATTATGTTCCAGTAAAAGTTGAACAATTGAATTAACAATAGATGGTTTATTTTTATGCAATGTTTGTCGAGCTTTTTCGGTTAATAAATTTGATTGACGAATCTGTTGATATTTATCACCGGCACCATTAACAACATTAACAACAATCACATCTTGTGGTATTTGAGATTTTAGTCGACCAACTAAATGAGCTGCTTTAATTGATTCAATCGCTCGACCATCTAAATAGCATAAAAAAACAACACTCTTGGATAAGAACGATACTCCTTCATCTAGATGTATCAATTAATCAACAATACTTACCTAGATCATGAGTTTTGGGATATTCTCGTTTTAATTGTTGATGAATTTCATCCCATGTATGCGCTTGTTGCGTAGATAATATTTCACATGTTCGGTCAAGTATTTTTTGTAATTCATTTTCTTGTTTTTTATTAATTTTTTTCTCTTGTTTTTCTGTATCTTTAACCGATTTAATGAAATTATTTTGATTTTCTTTTAAATATTCTAATTCTTGAGGAGATAATAATTGTTGCCCGGATGCTTGATTATACAATTCTTGTGCTTGTCGTATATTTGAATCGAGAATATCGATATTTATTTTATCTTGCATGTTTTGTATATCGCAACGTTCTAATGTATCACGAACAATATCAACAATGGGGTCAACGAGATAAAATGTTTGTTTATGTTCAGTTTTCAAATCATTTCTTACTTGTTCATACGAATAAACTTTTGGTGATAATAATATTTGTAACGTTTTTCGAATAATTTTATCGACATCTTTTGATTGCTCGTTCATATTTTTAATGGGCGGAGATGATAATTGGATACGATCACGTATCGTTGTAGCTAACTCATTTTTAGATGAATTTAATTGTTGACGACGACGTTCATCTAACAGAGAATGACTTGAAGTATTGCCTGATGCCGCAATGGCTGCTGAAGATTTTTGATCGACATTTTCTGTTGATTTTGGTTGACGACCACACATTAGACAGGATGAGCCAGCATTAGCGGCTTTAGAAGAAACATGTTTATCGCCACTCTCTATGGGAGACTTTTGTTTTCCTTTTGTCATTGTTGGCGATGTTTGATTTTGACTAGATACTATATCAGTCGATGGATTATCTCTAAATAATAGAAATAACGAACAATTAGTTAATTAATTAATGTTAGAAATTAATGCTATGTTTTAAGAGTATTTCAAAGGATATTTGTGGATTAGAATATAGGTCATGTAACTGTCGTAATTATTTAAACTTACTTTGATATTGTTGCGCCGATTTTTCTTGCATCTTGTGTCGAATCAACAATTAATTTTGGTATTGTATCTGGTTGTTTAGCTGGAGATTGTTGAATAGCTTCAGGTTTATTCGTTGTACCCGTATTAAAATACGTCATAGTATCAACTGATTGTTTCGATGAATGTTTTACCATCTACAAATAAAAAATATAATGAATAATACAAATATTTCCGAGATTTCTATTTTCTATTCGTTATAAAGTCAATTTAGGTGAACAGTCAGTACAAATGTGTAAAAAATTCTTAAGAGAGAAAACACTTGACAATTAGCCTTGCAGCAAACTAATCTTAATTAAAAAAAATTCGTTAAAAGTAGTAACGAAATCATAAGTTCACACTATTTACTACTTACATCTCGAATAGCCATGGCTACTTCTGGACGATCAATATTATCTAAATTATGTTTTTCAATTGCGATAAATAAACCGTTGACAACTGGATCAACAATGTACGCTTCATTCTTATGTGACATAATTAATTGTGTTTTTAATTCGGGATAACTACTAACTTTTTTATCTTTAATTAAATCAATTGAATGTTGTATAATTTTTTGTAAATGTTTTTGATCTTTTTTTCCATCAAAATCTTCCATTGTAGAACTAACTTCTGCTTCTAATAATGTTTTTAATTCTTCTTGACGAAATAATAATTTTGTACGTAAATCATCATCTAACATAATCTTTTTATTAAAATCATAACGCACACCACCTTCATGTTTTAATGATATTAATTTTCCATCATCGATAACACGAACTTCTGGATTTTCATAGGTAGATTTTATGGACGGTAATGTGTAACCTTTGTGCGCAACACCATCGATGATTTCACTACCAAGACCAGATGAAACTGAATTACTGAAATCATATGTTGAAGACTGATCAGTACCAAATGTTAACGATGGATGAATATGAGAAGAGACAATTTGTTCAAGACCACTATCAGAGCGAGACGTTAGTGGTGCTTGTTGTTGTGGTTGTTGATCGATTTGTCGGGATAATGGTGGGATAATAGTAGAAGTTTTGACAATTTCTTCTGTTACATGTGGATGTTTTTTGAATGATATATTGGCTTCACTCTCATCTAACGATAATACTTTTAAATCCAAATCGGGTATTTCCATCACAGGCGCTTTCATATCAGATGATGAAGTCTTTCTGAGATTGGTATAAATCTCCTGAAAAAGTTAAAAAGACAATGTATCATAAGTGAGTGCTTCTAGGTCTAAGAAAAACATAAAAGTGATGTTTTACCTTTTTTCCAATATTCGATTCATTGATATATTGTGAATTATCGTGATCAACGTTCGTCATCACAGGAACTGAAGAAATATCTTTTAGTTTTATATCAGGTACCTCGGAAACAATGTGGCTATTATTCAAACTATATTTTGCTTCATTGTTCGATAGTAATACAGGCTTTGTGAGTGGTTCCAATGAAATATTAGGACCTCTTAGTGATAATTCTGGTTTTTCAATAGGAGTAATGTTGACATCTTTTGGTATGATTTGCTCGGGTGTTGTTGGCTTCTGAGCAATATCGATGTCTGGTACAACGATATCTGTCAAGATTTTGGGTGTTTCTGGTTTGGATACATCAAGCAATTTCTTTTTTGGTGCTGGACGTTTTGTTGGACTTGTCCTCAATGCAGCTTCGGTTGATTGTGATAGACTGAAATCAACAGGCGGCAAATCGACAGCGGGTGCTTTTAAGGGTTTTCCATTAGCTTTTTTCACTTCAGTGGATTCTAATGCGGGTAAATCAACTGGTGGTAAGTTGGCAACTGGAGCTTGTATTTTTTTCTTTGGTGATTTTAGTGCTGTTGTTGTTTCTGTCGCATTTGTTATCGTTTTATGAGCTGCTTTCTCGCCAAAACATGAACATAAACCGCCTGTTGTCTTTTTTGGTGTAGGGATTGTTGATTCGATTAGTTGTGGCTTTGTTACGACTGGTTTTGAAATTGCTAATTGTACATCAGTGGTATCACCGGATGTTGGCAAAGGAACTTTTGATAAATCGGGTGCGGCTGTTTGTTTTACACTAATAGTCGGTTGCTTTTGTTCGTATAATTTGATATCAGGTACATCACCCATTTGTAAATCTTTATCATGAATTATTTCAGAATTGAACGATAAATTCGGTTTTGGTATTGTACTATCTAGATTTATATCTGTTTCAAATGATGGAGGTGATGTTTTGCTTAAATTCAAATTTACATCAGGAACTTCAAATGATGAGGATGTTTCTTCATGTTTAATATCAGCACTCCATGCAGGACTAGTAATGGATGAAATTGTTGATTTTTCAAAACTTGTATCCAATGATTTCTTAAATGAAAGAAAAAAACATGGAATAAATGAAGATATAGCGCGATTAAAACCCAAAAAACAGGAAAATTATAAAATCATATAGAAATCAGGCAATATAAAATAGAACAAGCAAGTATCCTTAACAGATCTGCTTGATGCTTTGGTAACAAAAAACAGTTCTCCATACCAGTGCTTCTATTTGCTCAGTTTTATGATCCAATCCAAATGCTGGTAACGATGATGGACTATCATAGTTTGTTCCGGCCAACGATAATTCTGGATGGATCAATGTTGCCTTTTTATTCACGTCCGAAGTGAAATCTGGACTGTTAACGGAAAACTTTCCTAATGTTGTTGGTATTTCATTGTCTAGTACTTTCTGAAAATAAGATAACAAAGTAATATTAAAGAAAAATCTGACAGTTGCTAGCCTCCAAGTAGATCGATGAGAATGAAGTAGCGGCAAGTTCCTCTATTAAATTATCAGTAGAAATTCCAACTGGAACACTGACTTTGCTTTCTACAGGTCTATCAAATCAAAAGATATGAAACGAAATAAGACGCTCAACAAAACTTGAATGCACTTAATGACTGAGAAGAACTGCACAGGCGTGGCTCAGAATAGAAGATATATTGAGCATACCTCTGGTAATTGTTGTTTAGTCATATCAATAATTGGAGTAGCTAGTGGCAAGCCCATTTCAACAATGGGCATGCTGGGTTTGGTGAAGTTTACTTCTTTTTGTTGTCGTTCAGGAATATTCGATGTAAATTCAACTTCTGGTAATTGTACAAAGGGAGCCCGTAATGCCTGGTCGGAATTGCGATTAAAATGAAATGCATCTGGTGTATTTTGTGATGGAAATACAACGCCTTCGAGAGGTGGTAATGAAACAGCTGGAATTTGAAAGTCATTTTTCTTCGAATTTATCAGTACTTCTGGACGATCATACGTGGGAAAGTCTACATTTGAAACTTTTGGTAAATCGGTTGATGGTGCTTTCAATGGCTCGGTTAAAATAACCTGTTGTGGTGGAACACGTATTGAATCTTCTACAGATGGTAAATTTCCATGGGGTGCAGTTAATTTTGACAACTTTTTACCTTTAAAGACACCAAATAATCCACCACCGCTATTATCGTTACCTTCTTTCTTTTCTTTCTTCACTTTTTTTTCTTTCTTCTTCTTGCTCTTTGTTTCAACAACAGTTTTAGGTAATGTATAAGAACCTTTGCTACTATCCCGAACATCTACTTTCGGCATTTGACTTTCAATATTTATTGTTGATATTATTGGTTTTTGAGAATCACCTGATATATTCAAATCCAGCGACGGCCCTTTTAAGTCAACTTTGGGTAATTCTACTGTTGGAGTTTCTACAACAAAATCACCACTTGCACCCTCAGATTTCATATTATCTGCGTCAACCTAAATTATGTAAAACAATATAAGTATCAATTGAAATTCAATACAGTAACAATACACAATCGTACATTTTCTTTAATGTCAGTTTCATATTTTTCGATACGAATGTTATCCGATGACGATGTTAATAACTCCGACATTTTTGAATGAATATATTCAATTAATTTTTATAAATAGACAGACTTTTTACAGAATGAAAACTTTACACACCTGCAATCAGTGAACTGAGTTTATATAGATGCGCGCCAACGGAAGAAGACAGAATTTTAAAAGTAATAGCTCAAATTTTGAGGTAAATGAGATAAAATGCGTTTGTGCGCTTATTTTCTCTTAGTGAAACAGTCAAAGACGACATCACTTTTCTTTTTCTCCGCATATGCAGTATTTTTGTCTTTCTCTTGGTCATAACAAACGGCACATGTTTCTGTTTTAGCCATTTACAGTGAGTCAACGAAGCGCTTAAGTCATAATCATAAAACATGAAATTTTCTTTCGTCTTTCGAAACTGCACTAGAACACCTATGGAAAAACAAACTGTATTTTTTCTTTGTGCTGTATTAGTTATAGTTAATACTTGTGTTTATCTCCCTTTTTAGTATTCATTTGATAAAAATATCGTATTTCTCATGAGAGCAAGAATCTTTTCAATGGTAGATTTAGAAATTTTTTAGGTAGGTAAAGAAAAGTATGAACTACATGCGGTCAGCATAGAAACACAATTTTCTGAGACCGTTCTGCTGGACAAAAGTCATTTTTTTGCTCCAGAGATACGAGCGCCCGCTCGCTGGCTGAATCCGCTAGTGAATCTTTTTCTAATTAAAAGCAGTAATCGGCAAGTGTCTTTTTGTAATTTTTATCTAATCGGACTTCATGGTTTTCTTTTTTTTCAGATGGATTTTTGTCGGTTTTCGAAGTTTATTCATCCAGATAGAAAAAGTGTTACTAATAACTTAAAAGCCGCTGTCGAGTACGGTATTCAAAAATCCTTATCTTATGTAGCAAGACTAATTTAAATTGCTTTGTTTATCAAATAATGTAATTGGGAACATTTTACCACCAATGATTATAAGAGTACGTATCTAAAAAGGTTTCCATGGGTTTCCTGAAATACCGAGTTTTTCATTGCCAACCATTACAGTCCCCTTACGAAATTTGATTCGATTGAGCTGAAATTTCTATTAGAGGTATCTAATGGCGTTTCTCAGATGTAACTTTTAGGAATTTTTTTTCTTTCTTTCTAATTTATAGTAAAAATACGAAAACCTATGTGATAAACCAAGATTTTTGGTTGTAAAAATCCTAGATCGGCAAAGTCAAAAACAAAAGCGACCAAAAATACATCTGGACAATGGTGTTAGGTGTCTACTCCTCATTTGGATACAGTTGCTCAAAAAATGTTGACTTACTCAGAAATTTGTTAAGAAATTTAAGTTGAGAAACTGCCTTTTATGCACCTGAGTATGATGCTAGCTTCTGAGTAACTCATTTATTTGCTGAGAAACTCTCTCTTATGCACCTAAGTAACTGGATGACTAACATTTTTTTCTGAGTAACTCAGTTAATCAGAAAATTTTAGTCAAAAAATGCGTTACTCAATAAAAAACTTTAGTTACTCAGCATCCTCTTTATTGATTTTTAGTGTTTACATATCAAAAGGAAATTTGTTTTCATGATAAATTATGGTGTCTTTTGTTAAATTTAATAACAGTACATGATTAAACTCTTTTATCTACATACATCGACTCTTGCTTTTGTTAATGACTTTATCATTTTGGTACCGATTTCGTTCCTATGAGAGAGTCGTCCTTATATTCACTATTTTATCCATACTTTCATATAATTTGTCAGAGAGAACAGTTTAAAATATTAAATATGTTAGCTTACTTCTATTTTTTTTTGTTTCATATGTAAGTCGAGATCTGAGTCTTTTATATGTAATTTTGGTAATTCACCCACTGGTAATGATATTAATGTTTTATCAACTTCAACATGTGGTATATCGTATGCTCCATCTTCAATATCAACTTTAGGTAAAGATTTTAAATCGGGTATTGTATAATCTGGTATTTGTTGATTCAAATTAATATCATCTGTTATTAATCCAACCGTTGGTTGATTTTGTTCATGTAACTTAATATTTGGAATTTCGCCAACTTGTAAATCATGATTATGAATTATTTCTGATTCAAGGGGTGCATCGGGTATATCAAACTTTGTTGCGGGTGACGACATTTGTTTAGTACTGTCAGCATGAATATTCAAATCAGGAACTTCAAATGATGATACAGAATGTTTGGTTTTATGCAGATCTAAATTTAAATCCGATCCACTGAAGGAAAATTCGGGTATGACTGAAGTTGTGGGTTTATCATGAATTTTATCCAATGGTTCCTAAAGTAAAAGACAGAAACATTATAGTGAAACATCCACAAGTCAATAGTTTTCTCATTTACCCCGGTTATGTTATTTTTTACATTTAAATCAAGATCAAAATTTGAATCCTTTGATTCGAAGGCTGGTATGTCTCTCTTCTTTGTTTCAATATCAATTGGAGGTGGCGGTGACGTTACTGATTGATTAATTTCTATATTTGGTAACGTTGGCTGTTTAATATCAATTGTCGGACCTTTCAAATCGACTTTAGGTATGTTAAATGTTGACACTGTTTGTTGTTTATTTCCAGTATTATCATCTTTACGAGTGACTAACTCATCTGACGTTTTTTTGGTTTCTGTTACTTTTTCTTTAGGTTCGATACCTTCTTGTTTTTGTTTTTTAGATGCTTTTGTACCAAAACATGATGCACATAGACCACCAGTCGATGATGATTCTTTCTTTGTTTTTGATACTTTGACTTTTCCTGTTTTTTGTTTATTTAAACTTAAATTTGCTTCAACAGGTCCAGGTTTTTCGAACTCAACTGATGGTAACTGGACGGCAGCACCGCGTAAACTACTGACAGTAGTGTTTTGAGATGGTGATGTTGTAATGAGAATTTGTTGTTCAATCGATTTTGTTATTGTACTAGGTTTTTCAATTTCAAATGTGGGTGGACGCGGTTCTAAATGCAATGATGAAGAGGATTCTACGGACGACTTTTTAGGAAGTAGTGATGGGGATGCTTGTTGATTATCGATTACAGGTGGTACTTGTATTTGTTCAATCGTTGGTGTTGTATAAGAATTTAGTTTATTACCATCATCATGATTATCATTGGATAATGCATGAAATTGCTCTTCATATTCCGATGATTTCGTCTAAAGAAAACAAACAAAACTAACTAAAACAAATTATTTACAGAACAACAGAGAAAAAAAAGAATATTTGCTATGTTAAAAAAGCGTTAATTTCACAATAACAAGCAAATCATATAATTACTAAGATTCAGGTGCGTTGGAAATACTTATATGAACGTGTATACATAACATGGATATAAAGAAGCAAAAAAGGATATAAAACAAACGATTTTGGACTGTACCTTTTATTGTCCATCTGACTTCATATGTACAATATCACGAGTCCATTAGCATTACAATGAATGTGTCGTATTTATGACGCACGGTGAAATCACACACTCACAAATCACAACAGTGAACACAAAACAGAAAATTGGTAGCAAACAAATGCGATTGAGCATACACATCAAACAACGGTATACGTAAGCAACAAAAATCTATACATGCGTACAGTAACAAAATTTAAATTTCTAGGAATCCTTTAGCCCAGGAAGTGAGTTTGGTAAAGTGGGGCGCTATAATAACTTAAGATAGAGAGATATTAAGATTATTAGAGATATTAAAGCAAAACTCGGAGTGTACGTATGCCGCGAATCTGAATCTTTGCTTTAGACTCCCAACATTGTTCTAAAACAGTGTTAAGAAAAATTTAAGCATCTGAGATTTCCTCAAAAATTATTTTTACTTAAATGCGAACGCCATATGTGTAAAAGTTTTGGATGAACGTACCTGGTATCTACACATCTTTTTATTTCGTTTGAAAAATCCACAATAATCGTTTATAAACTATTTTTGAATGTATATCGAAAGCAAAAAACAATCGTTCTGTTTTTAGTATCTTTTTTTTCTTGTTCTTTTCTGTTTTTAAATGAATAAAATAAACATATAAAAAGGTAGTTAAAAAATGAGGAAATTACTCTTCATAAAGTCATTATATATATGTGTTTACATATACGTTTTCTATTATCAAACAACGATTATAATCAAATGAGCAAGCACATGTATCTATGAAATGTATGCATTACAACCGTTTCTCAAGAAAAAACATTCAAGTCAAATGACTTTACGTTTAAGATATCAGATGATTAGTTACAAAATATTTGAAATATCTTAATAATTTTAGGATCCTAAATAGTTTCTGTCAAGTTACTATAGATTTAAAGACTACCTGAATTTAAAAGAAATTAAAATCATGAATAATTTTAGGTTTTACGGATTATTTTGAAAAAAACAAATTATTCTCACTTTTTTAGATTATTATGTGTTATGAACTTAAGATTAGTGTTAAATTAAAATGGAAAGCAGAAGCAAACTGTAAAAATTAAATAATATGTGTGTACGCATGAAAAAAGCAAGCATAAGCGTGTGACGAGAGAATTATATATGAAGGAAAGCATAAAACACACTGTATACGCATACACACAAACAAATAACAACAAAAATCTAATACTACAAATAGAAACACAACGTTTATATATAATAAATAAATGAATATTTTTTTTATTTAGTTTTATGGATTTAGTTGAGAACTTACAACAGGTTTTAGTATAATAAAATTTGTTTCGAAATTAGGAGGGCGGTAGGACATATCCAGACCTGGACGTTCACGATATTCATCAATGTAAATTCGTTTACCATCTTTTAAACCATAGTCAATAGCAGGCGGTTTAGTTGAAACAGTGGTGCGACTTGTTTGTTGAACAAGAACAGGTGACGTTGATGATTGGGTTGCTAGAGGTGTTTCTAGTTTTGTAATTGGAGCTTGTCCACTACTAGCAGCACGTATAGCATCTGATTTTGACTTTTTACCACTAAAACATGCAAATATACCACCAGTACCAGATGATTTACGTTTTTTGGTCTCAACTGGTTTGGGGATAACTGTCGATGAAGTGACTGGTTCTGTTTGTTTAATATCAATGGGTGGCGGTTTATTTTCATCATGTGATGCCACTTCAGTAGGTTGCGGTTTTGGCCATTGTTGTGGGACAGATACTTGTGGTGGAGAATAATAAAATTCTTCGTTTTCAGCATTTCGTTTCATTGCATGTAAATCAGATGATAATTGTTTTTCTTGAATATGAATTAATTTTGTATCGGCTATACCTTCTCCACGACTTTCAATGGATTGATTGTAAAGAGTTGTTAATTCAACAAAACGACCCGGTTCTGGTGAATAGGAAATGATACGTTTTTTAGGTATTTGTTTCGCTTGTGTTGTAGGGAAAAAAAATTGTTTTAATATATTTGCCTGATGATTATCCAAATCAAGTTGTTTTAATTGATCTCCATTATCCAAATTTACTTCTTGATCTAATATTTGCTGGCCAAGTGTCTAATGAACGCATACAGACAAGTTAGTGGGATGCGAAAAAACCCTTTTGTTGTCAGCAATATTAGTTATATTATCAATAACCATTTTAGTAAAATTCCTCGAAACCATATTAAAACAAATCCTCTTATCCCGTACTAAATGATACTTGATGTTAACTTTATACTTTAAAGAGCGCAGGGATTTTGGAAAAACTTTCGATTTTTGCAAGATATAAGGAGGAACACGTATATTATGCTTCGTTTTGAACGTACCTGGTTGAACTATTGCTATATTTTCTCTTTATTAGTGAGCATACATGTGTAATAGTATTTTGAGAAGCTCATAGCTAGTAAAGATGAAAATTTAGAATATTACTGAAGAAATAGAGCGTACGAGAACAATGTTCATTTGGTTGAGAAATAACAAATCTGACAAGTTTCTTATTCAAAGTCTTCTGATTTTAAAGGAAAGCGAATGAGCTACATTCATTAACTAAAACTGATGACAATAGTTAATAATAGTTTCCGTGTATCTTTTGTTTACACGTCTAGCAGTATCATATATAAAATTGATTACCTTATCTTTTCCATAATCTTTTTGCTTTATCTTTTGAATTAAATCCTGATTTAATTCATATTTGTCTAATTGTTCATTTGTTGCTTTATCCAAATCAATTTTTTCACTATCATCTTTATCATTCAATGTGTTAGCAAAATCGTCTACGACAGTTGAAGCTTGAGTTTGTGTTGGTATTAATTTGGTTTTGGGTTCAGCAATTGGTTCAAAATCAATTTTAATTATAGTGGGTAATGGCTGTTGCAATTGTTGTTTTGAAGAATCATTTGCACTTGTTGTTGTCATAGAATAGCCCGAGTCTGATGCTGATAAATCATTTTGTTGTTCTTGCCAATGTTTCGACAAAGATAGATGCGATGGAGATATGGCAAATTCTAAATCATTCGTATTCTGAAGTGCATAAGATAATTGTTTTAATTGTTTTTCTCTAAAATAATAAAAAATGATTGGTTAAATTTTGTTGAAAATGAAAAATAATGATTTTATTTACCTTAAATCTAATGGTTGTTCAAATGCATATCGTAAATGAACAGCTACATCCTCTGGTAAATTAATTTTTTCCAAAGCATTTGAATCAGCAAAATCTAATTCCGCTATTGGTTCACCAAAACGTCTTACTTGAACTAAATTACTTTTATAATCATCACCATAATTCGGTGGATCAATGGGTAAAAACACTTTTTTCATTTTAGCAGCAACTTCTAATGGTAAACCGAGTGAATTAACAACATCAATATCAGTTAAATCTAAATAATCATAGGCAATAGCTTCAGCTAATGTATTGGGCTTGTTATCTGTTTGTGATAATATTTTATTTGTTATTTTATTTAATTGATCATCATTCACGATTGCTGATGATGTTAGTACAGGTTCTTGTTCTAGTTGTGGAGAGTGAACGTCAATCATTGTGCCCGATGATAAACTTCGATCACCACCACTATGAAATTCACCAGATTCAGCAGAAAAAGATGTTGTTATACCAGAATCCTTTGTCGCTAATGGACGCTCTTCAAAAAGAGATAGAAAAAGTAGATTAGTAATCCAGATATATACAAAGATATATAACAGTCATTTAATTACAGAATCATGAAAGCAAAAGACTAGAATGGATCATATGAACGACTCTTAGCATCTTGTAGATTTGCGTGCATGAACAACATTATCCACTCATTTCAAAACTGAATAAAACGCGAATGCTTTCAATATTCGACAGCATATTACAAACCATATAGACTGATGTCTGCTTATTTACTGTTTTAGCATCCGTTTGTAATACTTGATAGACTGGCTTAATTGTACAATTTCAGTTTTGCGCTTCGTTGTAAAACAGAGTGATCGCGACTATCTCTTGAATAAACCTTGGATCGAAATGAGACAGAGATCCCTCATGTTTCGTCATCGAATAGCTAAGATTTAATCATACAAATTTCAGAAAAAAACAGTCCCAGATCACGGTCACTTCATTATTCTTTAAAGAGGACGCAGTGACTTTTTATTTACAATCCACATATTCATGAAAAGCCGAACTCTCTGTCTATCATTGTTCTCGGCATGGCATTTATTATGCTTTCCACTTTACTAAATTTCCTGCATTAGTATTATGATATGCATAAACCGAATCGAAGAATGTTACGTTCTGTTATCCATACAATTGTATTGTCAAAAACATATTGGGGCGATATCAAACACTATTCAGACGTGATTTATGAAACGGTTACACAAGCTTATTTCCCACTAGTTTATATTTTCCATTAAAACTAACAGATTATTTATGCATCGTATTTAGTATCCATCAGACATGTTCATTATTATCCAGATGAAGCAAAACAACAAAAAGGTATGAGCAAATAGTCGTAAACAAAGTTGTTACGTCTATATAAAACTTAAAAGTTCTGCTCATAGGTAAATATGTACACACGTACACACACACACACACACACACACACACACACATATATATATATATATATACATATATGTAGATATTCCAATTGATTCTTTTTTCTCAAGGTTATCTAGATATTTTTACAACATACAACACAAAAATGATTTCTTTTCTTCGTTAATATATCGAAAAAAAAACTAAAAATTCATAGTGCCCTTTTCTGGAGTGGGAGTGAGATCTCCTATACATCCATGTAAAATCAGAATTATCGCTATATACACAAAAAAAGTTTTATATTTCAGCAGTTAAATAAGTAATAGTAAAATAGTTACTATTCTTGTTTCTTTCTTATTTCAACATACATAGTCTATATACATATATAGAGGTACGTACATATTTGTAATCGAATACGCGTGGGTGTATGAGAGACAGACTGAAGATCCGATTTGAAGATAGAGAGGAGGACAGATAAAATTTTCTTATAGAAGTAATATGAAATTTTATTTATTTTATTTCTGTTAGTGGTTAAAAAACAATAGTTTTCAAAAGTTTCTAAAATGAAAAAAATCTCTTCAGTTAGTAACGACAATGATAATTCTTACAATCTAAGAAAAAAAATGATATATAACTCTCTACTAGTGAATCATAGAAAGCTACATGATAGTTTTTTCTTTTTTGGAAAGGATTTCATATTTTTCAATCTAATTATCGAAAAAAATTATTGGATCGTCGTTTGAGTGAGAGAATTTTATTTTAACAAGACCGTCGTTCACTCTCTACAAAATCAAATTAAAAGTATAGATCTTGTTTGTACATTTTAGCACCAAAATGTGCAGTTTTTATGCTTTATCAAATGACATATTCAAAGTGAATATTTCATTTTTTTATTTATTTAATTGAATATTTTTCTCCTTTAAATTAAATTAAAAAAAAAACGAGAACGAGAATGTAAATTCTCAGTATATCATTCTGAAAATTACACTATCAAAACATAAAATCAATCCTTGCACGAAGCTCGAATCGAACACACGAACGTGATCTTTGCAGACGAACTGCAAAAATCAAGGTCGGTCGTTGTTCTTTCTTATATTCTGCACAATGATTGAAGGTGTGCAATGACTCGATGTTATCCCCTTCAATGTATATTAAATTAAACATTTGTTTTTCTAAAGACTTGTTCTTTCAAATGCACTTAGAGAGTTATTTATATCTGTCATAATAGAACTTGTATAAACGTGAAAAAAGAATCCTATTAAATGAGTAAGCTTAAAAGGAACTCATGGAAAACCTACGTTGTTCGAGACCTTTATACTTATTATGAATACTAAACTAAAGTCACATATTTCCGAAACTAATAGTACGTACAATCAGAATAATTTTAGGAATAAAAGGCGGAAAACTTCTTTTGTCGATTTTGCCATCCACTGTATTTACAACTCCGACTAAAAAAAGAGGGAACGAGGCAACTATGGTCGATGTGAATGTGAAGAGTGAAGAAGGAAGGGAGAGAGAGACAGACAGTTGAATTTGCAAAACAATTTTTAAATAAAACAAAAAAAAAAACCCGACATCATTATACGAAAGAAATCAAGCAAAAAAAGTGTCTTCCCATCAATAATTCAGTAGATAGAGATGAACTCAACTTAAAAGATCACAACTCATGGCTGAACAATATCTCGCAAACACTGCAGTTCAAAGGTGGATGAGATGAGATTTATTGAAGCCATGTCAGACGTAAAAAAATATTTTATCTCGTCCCATTCCGTCTTACTTCGCAGAATATTAACAGGACAGAACGATGTCATTCACCTCTGCTACCATTTAGTCGACTGATACAGTTAGCACATTCGATATTCTAATTAAACAAAAGTAATACTTTTCTCTATTTTAAATTACTATCATCAGACGCTTGGACTTCAGAGTTGCGACATGCTAAATATATGAAATTCATACCTATTTTTGTCACTTTAGATTTTAAAAACGAAAAGCTTTGATGTATTTTAAAAGTTAATAATGGCATCAACGTCACGCGATAGTCAAATTAATTTTCATGGTAATTATAATGAAAATGAAATGAATCAAAAATTATTAACATCAAAAAAGAAAAATTTAATTACTAAATGGTTTAATAGTTTACATGGTAGTCAATTTATATATACCGACGAATTAAAACCATATACGGTAACGGGAATAAAAAAAATTGGAATTGAAAAGAAGACTTAGAATGTAGATTGATGAATGAACATTTTCTATTTATTATTTTTTTGAACTCTCTTCTACAAGAGATAGTCATGCAAGATTTATACTATACAAATGTACGATAGTTACTACTTTTCAAATAGATGATGTACAGTTAACAAACCCGCCCTATTATAATGAACATTCGTTTTTATTTTTTTTTGGAGTGGAGAACAACGCGCGCATACACACAAGGTCATTATCTAATCTTTGTGCTCATTGTAGTTCGTTTTTCTCTCCCATATTTGTCTTGTTATCCACATAATTCATCGTGTCATTTATTGACACAATATCATTTAACCATGTATGAGAAAAGATAGAAACTGTACGAATTTTACGATAGATATCGATGTGTAGTAGCATTGTTATAGAAATTGAGAGAAAGCGAGATGTACATGGTCAAATCCGTAGTCGATTATGAAAAAGATATAATAACCTCGACTAAAACGCCCTGAATATTAACATCTATGTAACTGAACACTAATAGTGATAAAATTATGTGAGATGAGAAGCTAACAACGTTAATCCTTCTACTACCACTAATCCTTTAGCTATCAATCTTTCAGAAAATATCAGTCCGTTTATCTCTCACTTTAAGAGAGATTACAGCTACGATAACTGTATACTCACGTACTGTCGATGGGTAGACACAGTTTTAAGCAGTATTCATATGATGCGACCGGCTCTTAAATATATTAATCATCAAAAAAATCACTGTATATGGACTAACCACTTATTTTATTCATACGTTCTCTTACTCTCTTCAACAACTCGAATGGCGGTTTATTTTTTTAAATGATCAAAGAATTCTTTGTTAATATCTTATATATATTTTCAAGTTGTTACTTTTTCAAAGAATAAAAAAATTTCTGTTGATTGTTCACTTATTTTTCTTTCATAATATGTCAAGTTAAACTTGTACACTCTCTCCTTCTCTTTCTCTCTTCTTCTCTCTAACTTACCAATAACCAAACTTGTTTTTGTTTTTGTCGTTGTTGTTGTTGTTTTCTCTTCTAAAACTTTCATATTGTTTTTAAATCGCATTGTAACTTAACGTCAATGAATAGTACACACAAATTTATTCTTCTCAACTAATAAGAATAACTGATCATAGTGGTAATTAAATATACCTTTTTTGTTCAAAATGATTTTTTTTTTTCTTCTTTATCTCTCATATCATCGCCCTTGCATGTAGACAATGTCTTCTCTTTCTCTGTAAAGCTTATTCTCCAAAATTTACTACACATCTTTCTATCTTTCATCAGATGTTCTTTCTCTTTTGTTGTTTCAATGGTCATTCTACTCTACATTCACTACCGACATGAACAGTATTTCCTGTTTTTCTTCTATACTTAGATGAACCGACGAAGAACAAATTATTTACTTGTATCTATTAACGGAGATTAGCTTATTTTATTTCTATTGTATTCACACACGTGTAAAAAATGTGATAAAACATTATCATCAGATAGACACAAACACATACGCATACACACGAACAAACGTTTATAATAATGATAAACGTGTCTGTTCATAATAAAATTAGAAAACTATAGAAGTGTCCATTTTCACATGCCATAGAAACAGAATAATTTTAATAGTATGAAAGAATAGTAATAAAGCTAATAAAAGAATTTTGAAAAACCTATCGAAAATTGTTTAAGATGATAAGAGGCGATATCAAGCAAATATCAACAGATTTGATTTTCTCTGTTATGCTTGTAATCTAGAACGTCAATTTACTATCTGAATCCTAACTGATCCTCAGGGTGACTAATTAGTAAGAAATCGTACTTAAATTCGCGATTAATTATTATATTGATCAAGTAAAACATGAACTATATCATATTAGTATAACTCGACAACTGTTTTCTCTGCGGAGGATTTTTGTGCATTTATAACATATATAAGAATGACACTCTTTGAATATATTTTTGTGTCAAAAAATCATATTTATCCAGGATTTATATAAAAAGTATTGAGCTAAACATTGATTACCTCTAACAGATATAGAAATACATTAATCTTCTTTTTTTTTCGAAAAGATAAAATAGCGATCTCTTTCCTCATTAAAAATTGTCCATATAAAGATATAAATCTGCACAACAACAACAAATACTAATCGTAAGTAATAATATAAATAATACTAACATAGGTATGTGTGTGAGAGAAAACAAAATCTCTCTGATTTGTTTTATTTTATATATATCTATATATCTAATTCTTGGGTCTTATTTTTGGAAAGACTACTAGTTTGAAACACATACACATGTAATTTGTTCGACATTTTGTATATTCAGCATTTCTTTTTCATCATCATTTTCATACAAAAGAGAGGAGGCGAGAGCTTTTAATAGAAATATACATAGCATCAGCAGAGCCATATCTATTTCAAACGGTAACGATTAATATATTGCTAGAAATTAAGACTAAGAATACGTTAGACATTCTTTTTTTCTTTCTACAATTTCTTGACAACAGCTGCAAAAATCAGCTATATAGATGCTTACAATTAATAATAAAAGTTGTATCATATTGTTTGTGAGATTCTTTTTAAGAACGAGAAAAAAAAGGCCTAGAGTAATCTTAGACTTGTCCATCATATGAAATCCATTTACATCGTCGTCGTGTACCAAGCGGTTTAGTGTAAAAAAGGGCATCGAGTAACTTGTACATATACACACAATGTATGCATGACGTTGATAATAAAAAAGAAAAGAAATAATACCCAAGTCTAAGATAACTTAATGAGCCATAAATATATACATTGCTGTTTGATTATCATCATATTCATAATGGCAGTGAAGAGAAAAAGATGCTTTTTCAATGAATAAAACTGCACCCTGGAATCTATTACGGACTATAGTAGTACAACAGGTGATCATAGCGTTTCTTTTGCCAATAAAATAATTCTAATGAACATCATTAGTCAATCTATGATGGAGTGTATTATTAAAAAATTTGTCAATCTTTTATTTCTCACGTCTGCACGGCGTGTCTTTTTACACTGACTGATTACCAAGAAAATAAAAACTGTCAACAATAAACAGTGATGACAAATTTTAGTATGTTAACATAACTTTTTTGGCAAATGAAGTATTAAAGATGTCATAATTGTCTCACACTTTGGCACAATTTATCTTAAAAAAGCGAAGCTTTACCTTCAGTGACGTTATTTTTATCTAAGTGAGTTGCATAGATACAGAAATTATTACGTCGACAAATTTGAAGAATATACACTGTCTGATGATAGATACATTTCATTCCCCGCCTCGATAAGTTTATCGTAACTCGAAGACAAGGATAACGACGAGAACGAGATGAGATCTACACGATAGTTGATTATAAAAAAGATATAATAACCTCGACTAAAACGCCCTGAATATTAATATCTATGTAACTGTACACTAATAGTGATAAAATTATGTGAGATGAGAAGCTAACAACGTTAATCCTTCTACTACCACTAATCCTTTAGCTATCAATCTTTCAGAAAATATCAGTCCGTTTATCTCTCACTTTAAGAGAGATTACAGCTACGATAACTGTATACTCACGTACTGTCGATGGGTAGACACAGTTTTAAGCAGTATTCATATGATGCGATTGACACTTAAACATATTAATTTCTTAGAGTCATTACACACACATTAGAGCTCATTTACTAAATCTATTAACAAAACACTTTCTATTATTAGTCTCTGAAATTTCTGTTTCCCCATATATTTCAATATTCTTGTCAACTACATCATAGACAGTACTATTTATAAAACTGCTTTTAACAATGGTCATAGACTATTGATCGGTTAAGTTTCACACACACACATCATGCAGCTAGATACTTTACGCAAAAACAAAATTTCTTGAATATTGAGTAAATTTAATAATTGTATCCTACCATATCGTCCCTATTTCAGACAAGAGCGTAATGAAATTTATTTGAACATTTTCAATAGTCTAATTTTAATACAGAAGCGAGGCTTTTTTAAACGTCTTCATATGGCTGCTATGTCTCATAATAGAAGAGAATGTCAATAACATCATTATTTCTGGTAGACAACATTTTCAGGTTTCTACTAGAATAATTTATGTACCTAAGTGTACCACGCTCAACTTCTAGATACCATCTTTAGTGTTACATTGTGACAGTTACTGCAACCAACATTTTCATAATCAAGATGTAGATCTACTACAGCTCTCATAAACAAAATTTTCTTGATGCACTTATTGGGACGTATACGAAGAAAATGATAATTCTCTTTTTTTCTCCCAATAGTGCGATTTTTTAAATCCTGTCTTCGTTATCGTTTCTGTACTTCTTCAAAATAACCTCGAAATAACATCTCATTATAACGTCCTAAAAGTCATTAATCAAGGTTTCTACATGACATAGTTCTTTCTCTGACTTGTCATATTATATGTTCATATTATTTTTATGCTATTCAACAAGTGACGATAACATTATATCTAAAAACTAATCATTTTATTAATTACTCATAAGGCAACACGTTTATATTTAGTAATTGTATTGATTAATGACTTTTTCTTTTCTATTTCTCATATAAGTCGTCGTTCGTCTTCTTACAAATATGAAAAAACACCTTATGTTTAATGACTTTTTATGTATATATATATGTATATAAATGCCATTTGTTAACATGCACAATTGAGACAGGCACTAATCATCATTAACTATGTATAGACAATGCGTTAGCAAATAATCAAACATCTAAACAAGCCGATAATATTTACAAACGAATTAGCACTGTCGCGTTGCGCTCTTAAACATAAAAGTAATTATCGCTCTATCTTTGATGATCATTTCTTTTAAGTCAAAAACAAAACAAAAATGTTAAGCATATTCAAAAACGGTTACCGTTTAATATAAATTTAATTAGTGCAAAAATCGGAATGAATTATTTAATTTGCATTCCCTAGCCAAAATACCGTTACCAAAGTTGAGTAAAGAAACTAGCCAATGGTGCAGTGTATCGCCAGTCAAACTTTTCTCGTGATCAAAATGTTAGGTAGAATTCTTACCACTATTAAACAAATGATATTACAAAAAATAATTAATTCCTTATCCATTCCTGTTTTCTTCTTAGTTAAATTCGAATTTTATCTGAATCTGGACAATATTATTTTTTTTACAAAAGATGCTTAATATCAATGAAAGATATTTACTGCGATCTGTACAATCCTTGTTGAAGGAATTAGATTATGCACTAGTACTAGCCAAAAAAAAATTAGACATACCTTGTTCTTTGTTATTTCCATTTTGATATTGTGGCGGTGTTGTAGTGTATGTTAATCGATCTAAACTATCTTGAACATTATTAACAAATTGCGTTGCTACATAACCTATATTTGGTTTTTTATCTTTATTAGCCACGCTTTGCTTTACAATTTCCACGAATTCTAAATTCACATTATCATTCGATGGTGTTGTCTCATTTTCGAATAATTTCAATAATTGTGGCTCTTTTGTTGTAAATATTGTTTCGTACGTTTCGCACATTGGTTGAATAAATAGCGATGATGGTATTTGATCACCATATTCTTCACGAACTTGACCTTGAACATTTTCCCACGATGAACATCGATTATATCTTAGTAGATCTAGAATACGTGAAGATATTTTTTGTCCAAGAACATTGTTGCTTTTTGATGTTAATAAATTTGCTTTGGAAAATACTTGTGAATGAAAATAATCGATTAATGGTTGCTTTTTATTTATAATCAACTGTTTGACTGGATCAGTGATTAGTTGTTTTCCGGTGGTTTGTAGATCGATAACAGATTTCGGTAGCTCGAGTGATATTGGAGCAGTTGTTATTTGTTGATTACTTTTAACTTGATCCGCCGTAGCTGTAATTGTACCAACGGGTGAAACCAATGTTTTCTTTTTTAATTTTGATTTTTTTTCAACAATTTTTGTTTGTTCTTGTTTACGTTCATCATCACTTGTTGTTTCACGTGGACTTGTACACGAACATAAACCACCACTACGTTTTGTCTTCTTTTTAACGATTATTGGTTCAGGCGTAGATTTGACTATTGGGGTAACCGTTGTAATCGGTTCAATATCGGATTTTTGACTAGTTGAACTGTATATACTAGGTTTAATACTGATTGTAGCGTCGATTCCTGTAAATAAAAGAAAAAAAATCGATCTTAAACAATATTGAAAAAAGAGGTTTAGGTAATTCACAATGACTTCTGTAACATCTTATCAGTAGCTTAGAGAAAAAATGTCTTACCTCTTCCTGCTAATGCTGCGTCATTGTTTACGATTGGTTTTTGTTGCTTTTGAATGTCTTGGATACCACCGGCTAATTGATCTCCTTGTTCAATCAACTGTCGAACACCATGCGTTGGTAACAGTGCCTTTTCTTTTCGTTCATCTCCAAAGTCTCCCGAAGTTACGACTTCATTATTAGGGTCATATCTTACTTCTTGTATTTCGGTAATTGTTGGACGATCAGACCATGTTGTACCGGTAGTGTTTGTCATCGCTGTTAAATAGGACGGTAAAATATGTCGTGATGATGGTAAATTGTAAATATTTTGTTGCATTGATGTTCCTGAACTGTTTGGCGGTAAGAACCTGGTCACATCATCAATACCTAATTCTCTTTTTGCGCGTTCCAAATCATGTTGATCATTGATCGTTATGGTACGCGTTATTTCTGTTACTTCGGTTTTAACAACCTTTGTTACTTTATTATGCGTCTCCGGATCTTCGGCTATTGTCTTTTTTGTTTCGATTTTCTTTTTTACTTTACATTCTAAATCTTTATCTTCTTCAACGGTTGTTATTATTTCTTCCATCATACCTTCATCATCGGATTGTAGATAATCATCATCATCGGCCAAATTATCATCAATGGATGTACCGCCTAATATTTGTTGATCTAGTTGTCGTTTCGATTTCTCTAATTCGTTATTTGCTTGTTGTTCAATAAATTCAACATTTTTATCGAATTGTTTACGTTTATTATGTTTTTGTTTAATTTTTAATTCTTTTGAACTTTCCATAGTTGAACTAATTATACTGTCTTCCGATTGGACATTTGCTTGTTGTTGTGTGAGTGTTTGTGTTGATGATAAACAAGGATCTATTGTCGAGGAAGACGTCTTGTCAACAAGAATTCTAAGAGAGATAAAAACCAGACAATCAGTAAATGGTTGAACTTCTATCAAGCGATGCCCACGCTATGAATCATCTGAGGCAAAATAGATAGCACGCAATATTTTGTAGAATCTGTTTTTCGCAAATAGTATAATGAGCATTGGGTAATGTTAGATTTTGAGAATACTTCCAGAATCTGAATGGAGAAGAGAGGGTATACTACACTCATGAAACAGCGGTTGCCAAAAATATTATGTCCGTTCTTTATTACCGTAAACAGTTTACAACTACGGTTTGTATAAGACAGTCATACATGTTTATGCTTAATTTTCTTCACAGCTGGAGTGGATAAAAATGAAGAGAAAGAGAAATACGGTTATATTTAGTAGTGCAAAGAGTCGCAGTTATTCCGAAGGAACCATTTCTCATTTACTACGCATACAGCTCTATCAACAGGGATAATTTTCAGTTAAACAGAATAATCCGTTACTTCTTTCTATTAAGAACACCAGAATCATCGATAGCTTTTCCAGTACGCTATATCATGGCTCCTTGTCATAGAAACATGGTATGACAGCAAATAAGATTCCACCAATCAATTTAAAGATTATAATAACGCTGTTTTCCAAGTAACACTGGGAAAAATTACTTAGAACGTAAATTCAGAATAACTGTTATGTGTATTGGAATATCCGATAATAGTATAATCTACTAGTCATTGTAAAGAGAGGGCGCTGAATAACGGACGTCACTGTTTCTCACTTTGAATGGCGTTTCGCAATATCTTCGTTGTGCTTCCACATCGTCAAACTCTGAAAATATTTGACTCAATGTCCGGAAGCTAAGGGTCAAAGAGTATGCCGAAGCACAAAGTGCAAAAAAGGTTGTTTGGTAACTGAAACCTTAAGAATATTTCTTTTTACGACTGTCATTTCATTTTAACAGAGCACACTGCTTGTGGAAAAAACGCATTAGTGCATCTGGAGAAAAACGTTTGTTTTCGGCAGTTTTACCGTGCCTTAAATACATTGTAAAAAAATTGTAATCAATAATTATCCATTTAAAATAAAATTGAGTTTAATCTTAATCTTAAGTGACTAATCTACTAAATGCACTTAGATTACATTAGTGATTTGATTAAATGCCGAGTCTTTTGCAACGTATTTAAGGCAAGGTAAAACTGCCGAAAAAAACCGTTTAAAATTCATGAAAGAAAGCACTTTGCTTTTGTTGACCGTTAGATCATTATAGTGTTGGCTAAGACACTGAGAAAAAGAGATGCGCTTGTAGTCGTATGAAAGCAGAAGCTATACTGTTTAAGGTTCTAATACCACAGAAGACGTATCAGTTCTTTTTATTATCTGCCTGAACGTCTCCAAAAAGTTCTTTAATGCTTTGCATTCTGTTCTGATGACTGGAGGCGATTTCGAGAGGTTGAATAAGTGTGAAAATATCCAATGTCTACAAAGAATAAGAATATTTTCTTACAGACAGAAGCTCTAGTTACGACAGTTAACACTTTTCTTTAGCTTCGATTTTTCAATGAGCTGAAAAGTAATATTCAGCTCAAGGATCTCATGTTTTACTATTTCATCATTCAATTGGTGTAGTTCCAAGTGAGAAATCATCAAATATGAAAATGATTTCTTATAGTCTCTTTTTTTGTGTACTTCATCAGCTCTTAAGTATGAGAGAGAGAAAAAGAATTTTAGCTATTAATTTGATTGACTACTACTAGAAAATGTATATAAGATTGTATGCATGGACACACTCTAGAATAGAGAGAATAGGGACAACATAAAAGAAAAGAATAAAAGAAACCGATTTGGTGGTTGTTTAGGTATGTATAGAAATGTTTCAAGAAAACTTAGAAAATCATTTTAAAAGTCCCCAACTCTTTATATACACAAATAATGACAAATATTACATCATTAATAACAACAATTACTACTCAAAAAATCGAAGAAAAAATATTATTACCATTTTCAACATAATAAAGAATAAGAGAGCCAATATACCTAATATTACAGCATGGCACTTGAAATTTTTTTTATATATAATCAATTTTGACCCAGGAAATGGATATATATATATATATATGTCACCAATGTAAAAGTTGCAAAACACATCGAGGTTCTATTTTTGTAGTTAATTTTTTGTAAACAGTGGTGGCACTTGAATCGATGTTTAAAGATTTTTTTCTTTTGATAGTAATATTATTTTTTTTTTGAAAAGAAAAAGTGTTTTTTTATTCCTGCAAGCAGCACATCAACTTAACATATTTCTAAATAATTATCCTAACAAATGCAAAGTTTTAGAGACTTACACTTTTATAGGCAAACCTTTTATATCTATACTGAAGAACAAAAACAACTTTTAGTTTTTCATAACTTTCTGATATATAACTAGCGCCTTGACAAATTGTGACAGCTGCTCTAATTTTAAAGATACAGAAATTGATGCTCGATTATTGTTATGAGTATGAAAATGTATAAAAAAAACGTTTTAACGTGTAGTTAAATTAAATTCTTCGAATAATGGTACAGTATTTCAGTGTAATTACAATTAAATAGAAGCACAAAAATGCATTTCTGTAGTTTACATACACAACAAAAGTGCTTATATGGAAAAGAAAGTTGTTTTCTCATAAACTATGATATTTTAACGCAAATTTTTTACATCAAAAGCGAAATTAAACAATGTTGAATCAGTAACTATTTGTTATGTTACTAGAGGAACCATATTTCATTTAATTTTATACATCATTAATTAACATACATCATTAATTTTCAAAAGCGCACTTATTTCCAAAGATATGCTTCAAATCTGTCACAATTGTGTTTTCAAAAACAAAGGTTTTGAAAATGAAAAACACTTGAAACAATTATATCCTTCTAGATATTTTAAATAATAAATCTTACCTGAATCGTTTTTTCCTCATAACATACGGCATTAACTGTTTATGAGTTTTAGGTGTTAATAACAGAGTATACGATCCATTTCTTTCGACAACTAAATCTACACCGTTTAAATGTACGCGATTTTGTAAATTATCATCGACATAAAATGGTGACGATTGAACAAGGCGAGCAGTTTTTGCTGCTGAATTTTTTGATTTTGATGAAATGACATGAGGATTTTCATCTAATGGTGATTGTTGAACTAATAAACGAGCATTCGAACAGCCCATATTGTTTAGATAAATTTTTATAAGCAATATAACACAGTTGCTTCTTAATAATATAGCATCTTTTTTTATTTTAATAAAGTCTTTTTTTTTGTATAGCACACAAAAATAAAATTTGTCGTTGTTGTGTGTCACAAATTATTATTCTATACTAGGTATATAGAGAGTGAAAGAGGTGTATGATTTTCGGGCTCTGCAACACATAACAAAAACATAATACAGAAGGTTTCATAAAAAAAAAAAAAAGAAAAAAATAGAATAGAAAGGGAAGAAGAAGAAGAAAGAGCAGACATACAATTTTGAATGTCAAACGGAACTTTTTCTTCTTTTTTTAAAAAAGAATTATTTGAACAAACGGTCCTCTGTGTGCATATATGAATGTTGAGTGTCTGTATGATTCGGAGTTTAAAAAAAATAGAGATGTGTGTGTATGTGTGCATGTGTAGATTGATGTAAAAACATTAGAAGATTGTTATCCCGCAAGCAATTTGCACGAGAACATTGAGATATATATATAGAGAGAGAGAGAGAGAAAAAGAGAGATGTATATATGTAAAAATTAAGAGCAGAAATTTTTTTTTGAAAAGAAATATATATATAGACTATATATAAAGGAAAAAACTCGGAAAAGAAAACGTCAATATATTGTCATATGTACTCGTGCTATAGAGTAGAGAAGAAAACGAATGATGCGACTTTATTTTTGGGATAAAGAGAGAGAGAATAAAAGAAGAAGAAGAATATGAAATAAGAGGCGAGAGTAAGATGATGGCGGTGACGATGATGATTGCGGTGATTATGCCGTTATATTAATATTTTGAGCTATTAAAAAAAACCAACAAAATCAAAAGAAACGACAAAAAGAAAAAAAAATTTTTTTTTTATCCTAGTCTATATACACAAGTAGTTTTCTCGACGTATACCATAGAAATGTATCTACTTATTTTCAACAAAAAGAAGAAAAAATACTAGAAGAACTAATTTTTTTTTCCAGATGACAATTTTTTTGTTTTTTACTAGGTATGAGGTGAACAAATTGCTCACCTTTTCCTGTATGTACTCTATATTGAGAAAAAGAGTAATTAAACCATTCGGATAGAGAAAATAAGACCTTATTTTCTCAAATTTTGTTAACTATCAGGAAATAAGATAGCTGTAAACTAATTGAACTTCCTAGTTCCGGTCTTTTCCAATAAAAAAAAGAGAAAAATGTCTGCGTGTTAACAAACGTTTAGGTCATTCTATCATTTTGAAATTTAAGACATATTATGCTGAGAAATGACGACGCGTTTCCTGTTGTCTTCGAAAGAAACATAGTTTAACCTCATCAAATGCAACAGATTGCTCTTAAAACCGCTTCGGACTATTTGGAATTTTGTTCTATTTCAGTCTTCTCTTTCTCTTTACAGTTTAATCAATAATGAAAGCAAAAGAGTTTGATGTGCGATATTAAGTTACCACTAAAATAGGTAATATAAGAACATGATTGTAAATTTAATATTAATGTAAGTCATTAATTTTATTTGGGAATCCATGATAGTTTTTTCCTTCCCATTGTAAAAAATATATTTTCTCTTCTTTTACATGGAAAAAGGAGAACCACAGAACAATATACTTTTCCAATATATATTTTTTTATTGGGAAATTGATTTTTTTCTCCATTTGCCTTTAAGAAAAACAGCTGTCGAAAAAAAATATTGAAATGACAAAAATAATGAACATCTGCAAATGGAGAGAGTATCTTGGGACACCAATTTTTCTATAAAACGACAAGTGTGTGTGTGTGTGTATGTGTGTACATTTACATTTACTGTTCTGTCATTGAATAATGTCCTTGTCGAAAATAGACAATGGATTGATATTTTATATAAATCAAATGTTGTTTTGTCTTTAATTGATTTCTTTCTCTCTATTTTCTCTTATATTAATAATTGACAATATTATACTATCTTCCTCTCTCTCTCTCTCTCAATCTCTCTTTATCTCTCTAACGTGCTGTGTTGAGTCTTTGTACGTATCTGATAATCGAATTGTTGAACATAGCGAAAAGAAAACTAAGGAATTTTATGCGTGTGAAAGATATGAACATACAGATTCAAAAGAATTTTTTTGTTTTTAGATTTTATACGACACTCTACATGATTCCCATATTATTTGGAATAATTTTTTTGACATCTCATAAGATATCTACAGTTATTATAAGCATACACACATACATTTGTATTAGTAAGATAAACAGACTAGATAACTAACACAATTTCAGAGTAGTATAACTTTAATTACTTTTTCTCATAATGATGACAATAAAAGAAGAAGAAGAAGAATAACAATAATAGTAGTAATGAGAAATATGTATTTAACGAGAAAAGATATAATGTATTTAAGCTTATTCAGATGTAGTTAGACTAAAGAAAAAACATTGGCATCACGATAATTATGAACAATCAAAAATTTTTTTGGCACAAATTGTCACTCTTCTTACATATACCTACATAAAGTCAAATCAAGTGAGAAACAAATTTGTTGTTTATTTTGGGAACAAAGTTGGTATTTTGTTTTGATTGGATAGAATACACTTATTTCGCGAAAAGAGAAAGAGAGAGTAAGAGTGAAGAAATAGAACCTTGACTATCTTGTATTATAAACAATAGTTATTACTATTTAAACATTATAGGAAGTAGAAATAGTAACAAGGACAAAAAACTATTCATGTCATCAGCATACGATGATGATGATGATGATGATGATGATGATGCTGACAAATCAATAATACCATTGAGAAGAGCTGTTGATAAATCTCATCCTAACATAATGCCCGTTGAATGGCAGGTGATAGAATATGATGTATTTGATTGTAAGGACAAAAAGACAAGTCAACTTTTTTCTATTCTTTTCCCATTAAAAGAGGACTTAAACACAGATACAGTTAACTCTGCTGAACTAAAATATCGATTCTTGCGTGTCAAGAAAAAGTTGTTGTTTTCGCTCATGAAACTAATCTTAATCTTGATTTATTATTTCAATTCTTTATTTAACACGAAACAAAAACGCTAAAATAATCGTCTTATCAATATATTGGATCGTTTTTCTTTTATTGGCAAACATATTGAGATGATACAAAAGCAATCTTCTTTTTCTTTCTAAACATGAAGTGACTTATTTTTTTATCTTGTCAGTTTCTCTCTCGCTCTCCCACATACATACACACATAAAACAACAACAATATGCAATTTTTAAGAAACACTTGAATTTGTTACGTGACACACAGCTTGAATTATTGTTTTTCGGTTTTTTGTAAGTACACAGAGATCATAAAGTTACATAAGATATGTTGATTCCTCTTTAAAAAAGTTGCTCTTCATATGTATGAGGTAAATATGACATTTAAAATACATCATAGACGCCATTTTTGATACACTGCAGTCATTATAGTATTCGCATATTATTATACAACATTCACTTTTGAAAGCGGCGAAGAGAAAATGCAATCGGAACCTGCCACTATCCAATAATGTTTGACAAAATAGTGTAATATAGAGCTGTAATATTATAGTGTTGAAAAGCTTATGTACCATATCACGGTCAAAATTATGAATAAGGCCTTGTCTGATAACAAAGGACTTTTCCAACTGTCGCCTTGCTCTTCAGATGACTATGTAAACGAAAAAAGTTTTCTATACACTCCTTTTTCTATATTCTCCTTCAATTCAGCCACTCATTTTCGATTACTATTAATATTTGGAAAAAAGATCAATTGAAGTATCTAACAGCTGTAAGCTAACGAGTTGGAGTTATGCAATATTTTTTCGATATATACTTTTATTCAGCTACAATAATCTCCCAAATGTGAACACATTTTCTTGTTGCATTTATGACACATTTATATTCGAAAAACGTTCGCGTTTGCTGGAATAATAGAAAACAGTATATGCACACTATTAAATCAATTACATTCAATATTTTCTCTCTTCCTGAAAGATATAATGAGAGAAACAGTATGTTTAGTTTTATCTTCTCCCACATACTGTCACAATTTCTATAAATACAGATCGGAAGTCATTTTGTGAATATAGACATCAACCGTGAACGAGGGACATGTTCAAAAGCTGAACTATCCATCATTTAAATTATCAGTTAGAGACATGATAGACGTTAACTTCAACCAGATGTCCTAAAGTTAACATCACTCCGCTTTCCTTGTCAAAGAAAAATGAATGTTCATTCTATTTTTTGGTTGAGTGAAGGGGGCGGAGGTGTTCAGAGAGTGACTGTTCATTAAAAACACGACAAAAGACCATTTGTCAACGTGAAACAGATGGCGGGCTATCTGTTTGTTGGTTGTATGAACAATAAAAGAATGAGCGAAAAAAATTTCAGGGTGTTTAATGAATTATAGTGACAAAACAGTGAGAAAAGTTGAAATGTCACTGTTATATTGTATTCAAAATATGAACGATACAAATTTGATTGCATTTTAGATGTCAAAAATGGGATTTTACTTTAGATGATTGATTTTAGAGGTTAACGATTTATAGCTGCGGGATATAATTAACAATATGGGGTCAGTCATTGGTTCACTGGAATATAAAACCAAGTCAAAAACATAGAAGAAAAATATTGGTGTACCTAATGCTAGCGACATACTTAAAAATTGGTTGATAAGAAAATCTTTTTTAGAACTAGTAAGAGCCAGAAAGAAGATGTATGTAAACTTTTAAAATCTAGGATGTTCTATGGGAGATGCAAAGATTCAAAGTTAGTTGCTTGATAAACGTAGATGAGTCATACCAATATTGATATTAAGAAGTGTAATATTCTATAATCATACTGTATCCGATTTTAAAGATAAAAGAGGTTAGATGTTGGAACTGGGCGATTTGTGTCTGAATTTTTGAGAAAGAAAATAACGCATTATCGTCGAATATCTAAAATGATTCTTAAAAGGTTAGGATATATTAGTACTTCTTCAAAAACTACTTCACTTCTTATGTCTGAAATTCGTT